ATCTATCTATCTATCTATCTATCTATCTATCTATCTATCTATCTATCCATCTATCCATCCATCCATCTATCTATCTGTCTATCCATCCATCCATCTATATACATACATACGTACATACATTATTCTTTACAAGAATCCAGTCTTCTGTGATGGACTGGAGACCTGTCCAGGTGTCCCCGCCTCTCGCACAGTGACTGCTGGACATGGGCACCAGTGACCCCCGTTACCCGAAAAGGAAGACGCGGGTAAAGATGATGGATAGAATACAGTCTTTTCTTTTGTCTCCAAATGTAAAAATATCAATAAATGTTAACAATCACTGGATGTTTTCAGTTTTATAATTTCACACCTACTGGCCAGAAAAGCCCCCCCTAACAAACTGAAAGTGGCCCATGGGCCACCAGTTGATAATGACAACTCTAGGAGGTTTCGCGGCTCTGGACACATTTAATTTAGTGCACAAAGGGGCAGAAATGGCTCTTTTGATCATAAAGGTTGCAGACCCCTGGGCTAGCCTATATCTAGTTGGTACGTCTGAACCTCACGCACAAGCTCAGTACCTCCTCGCCAGAGGAGGTGACATCCATGTCCTGAGAGTTGGGGTCAGCCAAGACCTCCACCTACGTCTGACGCCCATGGCGCCATGTGCCTGACCCATACGACCCCTCATGCTGGTGGTGGGACCACAGGAAGACAAACCAATGTAGCACATTTGGGCTGAGCCTGCCCATGGGTGAAGGCCCGGTCACCAAGACCTCACTGATAAGCTCCTCCCCCAGGTCTGGCTCCATGGTAGGGCCCTGGTAACCCACGTTCGGGCAAGGGACATCAGCTTCCTTGTTGTCTTCAATCTGTATTGTGAATCGCTCTGTCTGGCCTGTGAGGATCAGTCTGCATCAGGAGACCCTACTAGCAGTTCCTAGGATCATTCAGGCACACGAACCCCTCCACCACCACCAGGTGGAGATTCATAGAGGAGACCGGCAGCTCTGCAGCTGATGTGTTTGCTTGTGTTTTGCCTCGGCCCGGTCCCTCTGGGTTTTATTAGTCAAGCAGTGAGCATGATTACAGGCTCTCATCCCTCAAGTTTATTTATTTATTTATTTTTTTGTTAATTGCTTCATAATAGAAGCAAAGTCCCCCACGTTCATTAACACGGGCTGAAAATGAAGTGCTGGCATCACATCTGCTCATGAGCCCTCGGCATCTATAAATATGTGTGAACTCTCAGACTCCGAACAAATTCCACGATTTGATATCAGAGCTGAGATGAAGTCATATAATCACTGAGCAGGGAATTAAAAAAAATAATCTTCACGAAGCTACAAGGCAGAGTGCTGCTGGGGTCTATTTGTGGCAGCGTGGAGGTGTTTCTTCTCCTTCGCTTCCAACAAAAAGGTGAAAATTGCACCCAGAGGGGGAAAGCTTTGCGGCAGGGGAAGGTGCACATTCACTCCATCCAACTCTCTTTGTCTCTTTCGCCAGCTTTGGCTCGGCCCCCCAACATCCACAGCTGCACCATCTAAGCTGGTTCATATCTGGTGGAGACGATGGGGGGCGTCTGCTGGGACCCGAGGGACCTCTGAGGAGCAGTGAGCTGCTGATACGATGCAGCTGAGAGAAACTAAGATGATCAACCAGAAAAACAGACAAACGGTTACATGGCTGCACAATCCCAGCATCAGCCTCTCAGCAGGACCTTGACCCAGAACTCACCTCATCATCCAAGTGATCCAGATCTGTGGGAACTCCTTTACAGCAGACGGGAGAAACTGGCTGACGATAAAGAGTGATGAAGACTTCGTATTAGAAGAAGCATGATGTTTAAACAAACAGCAGTTGGTTTTATCCACATCTGAGTTTTAAAAACTATGATTTTTTTTTTTTTAAATAAACTTGTCGTTTTCTGTAAACCGTCTGCAGGAGGTGAAGCTCCAACATCAGAAACGTCGTTTCTCTGGATCCGTTTCATGACGGTTGAAGGAGCAGATCCAGAGGCTCATTAGAAACGGCTGACACGTAAACACTTCCTGGTTTAACCATCAACGGTCATCACCTCCGTTCAGCTGCGGAGGACGCAGGAGTCCACGTCCAACACAGAAACAAGCAAAAGGTTCTGACCCGGAATCAGATGCAGAGTCTGGAGCTGCTTCTTTATCCAGCTGTTTCCTTCAGGGGGTCTCCACAGCAGATCATCTCCCCCTGACAGTCTAACATTAAAGACTTTGTCCAACATGTCCACTGTCCGTCCTCTGGACATGTCCGAACCACGTCAACCTTCCACCAAATGCTTGTTTGTTCCAAACCCGAGCTGTCCCTCTGATGTGATTTCATCTTCTCCATCATGTTCATCTTCTTCCCAGTCTTTGAATTAAGTGTACAGTAGTTCCTCGCTACTTCAGTTTTTCAAAGTAAGGCTGTACATGAGAAAAAAAATTGTAAAGGACAAGATTGTCAACTTTAATACTACTCGTGAATGAGACTGTACTGAATACAGTACAGTAAAAAGTTAACAAAAAAAATTAAATACTTCGGACAGGTGCCACCATTGTGTAGTTTTCTCTCAATAAGCCTATACTGTACCCCCGCGCATAACGACTACACTTCCCAGAAGTCAACAGTGCCCTGCCCAGAACCCCTGTTGCCTTCTGCTGAAATACGTATAGGGAAAGTTTTGATCCGATCGGAAAACTTTTGGTCCTTATTCATACAGTGACTTCAGTGCGGATGCAGTGTTGCACGGAACCCACTGGGAACCAGACCAGAACCGGACCCCCAGACTAATCGTGAACCCAAGAGCTGCTAGCTGGCCCACGAGGACCCACCGAGCGGGAAAGCGCCGTCCTTAGGTCCGGCGTTCCACCGGGACTCTTAAAATCCAGATTTGGACTCAGTCGGACCAGAACAGAGCCACAGTTTCTGCAGAGCCGGTGAGTCAAATTTTATCAGTTAAAATCACGTAGTTTTCATTGTGGGCTTCGCCGCTGCAGGGTACGTCCGCAGAACTGGAACCGAGCAGCTCACGCATCGTAAAATGTCAAGCTGAGCGAACAAACATGATCAAGTTGTCTTGATTAATAAACTCTTGCTAAATTTTCAGCTAAAGGTTTTTTCCTCATGAGGGAGTTTTTCCTTTCCACTGTCACCTTCATGCTCGCTCAAGATGAGAGTTCTGTGACGGAGTTCAACTCAAGTCAGTCTGCTCCTCAGATACATAATGTTAAATTATTATTTTTTAAATATGAACGTTTCTGCTCAGTGTCCTGATATGACTTCTGTTGTGACTTGGCGCTTTATAAATAAACTGAATTGAAAATAAGCTTTTGCTTTAGTGTAGTTGATTTAAATGTATTAGTTAACTGAAATGTTATGGTTTGTTGTTTTAACTCAGAAATCTGTCAATTTGATTTTTCACTTATTGCGGGGTGGAACCTAACCCGCTATAAACGAGGGATTACTGGATTTGTCTTCTTTAATGTCTCGTTTGTCTCATTAGTTGACACCCGTCTTCTTCATCGTCATCATCTTCGGTCTTCTGCTGAACGCTGCCTTCAGGCGTCTCCACAGAGACATCTGCCTCCCATTGAAGATCCAAGCATCATCTCTGCTAACTTCTCATCTACAGACTCACAACCTGAAAAAGCAGAACTCTGAAACTGAACGGCTGAAATTCTGGTTCGATTCAGTCCGGTCCAGAAGAACTCGAGTGTACTCATGAAATAAAAACCATCTCCAGAAGCTGTAATTTGGCAATTAATTCTCCTTTATTGTGCATTTCTTTTCTTTAAATAATTAGCAAGTTGTAAAAAGAAATCGTAACACTGGTGCATCTGAGCGAGATGTTGGTTCTATCAGACCCGAGAGCTGCGGTCCAAAGCCCGACTCTTCACGGTTTACCAGCACCAGCAGTAGAAACGAAACGGGTCAAAGTTTGTTTTGATGGATCAGTTTCATCGTAAACATGATAAAAAGATAAAAACGGACCTTTTGGGTTGACGGTGCGATGCAGAGTTTCTGTTTTGTCTGCACAGGTCCTCGTTAAGAGTCTGGACTTTAAGTCTGACGGTACCAAAAAACACAATAAAACAAATAAAACATCCAGAGCAGGTTCCTCCACACGTGCCTGAGTTCTCATCAGACCTTCAGCTCGGGCTGATGAACAGAAAGTCCCTGGAAGGTACCAGGTCAGTCAGATCAGGACTTTCATTCATGTACCTGAAAGAGTTCAAATGGTTGGTGTGTCCACTGACGTTGGGCGGTTCTGTTAGACTCGATTGGATCCCAGTACAAACACCACCATCACCTGTGTCCACTAACCCAGCAGACACCAGGGCGTCTGGTCCTGGTCACACTCCAGTTTGATGTTGATGACGGTGCACGGTGCACCGCTGATGGTCAGGTCCTGCCGGGACTCCACCTGGTACTGGAGGTTGCTCAGACCCCCGTCAGGATCCACTTTAAACTGCTCCTGCAAGAACAAGGCGGGCAGAGGAGGAAGAGGAGCTTCAGCTTTCAGCTTCAGGATATTTTGATTGTACATTCATTCTCTGAACAGCCCAACACGGTCCAGAGTTCCTGTTTTACAAACAGAGGACATGAGAATAAACCGTAACAGGACAATAACCTAGCTGGTTAACTGCTGGTTAGTTCTCAGAATTCTGTGAGACTGACCCAACGTGACCATGTTGGTCCTTCTGGAGCCACAACAGCACACGATAATCCTGCGGAGGATAGGAACACAGCTGTTCCCACACGCCAAAGGTTTAGGTTTGTTCTATGCAGATCAACACAAGGTCAACAATGCAATGAAATGCTGAGGACGAGAAGAACCGTCTCGACTTGCCAAAAAAAAACCCAAACAAAACAAAACAAAGCATGCAACAAAAATACAAAAACAAGACGTCAAAAGTGAAAAATAAATACATTTACAGCAGCATGGTACAGTTATCAGAGTGGTTCTGTTAGCAGTGTGGTACTGTTAGCAGTGAGGTTCTGTTAGCAGTGTGGTTCTGTTAGCAGTGTGGTACTGTTAACAGTGAGGTTCTGTTAGCAGTGAGGTTCTGTTAGAAGTGAGGTTCTGTTAGCAGTGTGGTTCTGTTAGCAGTGTGGTTCTGT